TGACACTCTACATCTGGCCCAATGCTTAAAGTTTCTCTTCTATTATTTCATTCAACTGCTGCACACCATCCTATACAGTAAATACCAGTATCACTATTATTTAATAGGTGAGGAAATGGAGGGGGGGAGGTTAAGTAACTTGCATAAGATCACTACCAAGATCCATTTTTTTAACTCACAGAACAGTTCACTTCTGACACCAAACGTGTCGGTTTTCCCCTCATACCAAGCAATTCTGACACTAACTACCCAGAGTTAGGGCAGACCCCATAGATTAAAGGTTCAGTCCCATAAGACTGTCCCCACTTCAGACGCCAATCACCAAGCCACCTGTACTCCTGACCAACTGGCTATAAATCAGGGTTTCCATGACCCCCTCCTCAAGTCTGACAATTTGCTAGAATGGCTCACAGAAGTCAGGAAAAGTTTTCTTACTATCGCTGGTTTATTATAGAGGATACAACTCAGGAACAGCCCGATAGAAGAGATGCATAGGGCAAGGTCTAGGGTAAGGGGCACCGAGCTTCCACGCCTTCTCTTGGTATGACGGCCTCCCAGCACCTCCACGTGTTCACCAACCCAGAAGTTCTCCAAATCCCTTCATTCAGAGGCTCTTATGGAGAGGTCCCATTACATAGGCAGGATTGATTAGATCATGGGCCACTGGTGATTAACTCAATTTCCAGCCCTCTAATCATATGGCTGACGGCAACCAACCCCCATCCTGAAGCTATCCAGGGGACCAGCAAGAGTCACTTCCTTAGCATAAACTCACATCTGGTTGAAAGGGCCTTATTAGCAGTAACAAAAGATGCTCCTCTCACCCAATCCCTCAGGAAATCTCAAGGGTTTTTCAAGCTCTTGTACCAGGAACAGGGATGAAGACCAAGTATACATTTCTTATTAATCAAAAAAAAAAAAAATCACAGTTATGCAAGCCTGGACCCCACACCTGTCTGGCACTGAATTCCACGATTGGCTAAAATATCTCATTCTGTGATTACCTCCGATGCCAGAGCCCCTTCATCTTTCCCACACCTGCCGTAACACCCTGGAGCTCCCAGGCAGGGCATTCTCCCAGCCATTAACTTCCTTCCCAGCCCCTATAACTGGGTCTATCTCTAGCCCCACCCACCCCAGAGTTACCTTAAACTTGAGTACCTCTCTGTCTCCCCAGCCCCTACCAGAAAGCAGGTCAGGTCCAAGCACACCCAAGATTTGCTCTCTGGGACTGAAGCTAGTGCCAGGAATTTATGACAAATTGCCCTGGGAACTGCTTCTCCAGGAGCCGTGCTTACTCCCTTGGGGAGGCCGGGTCATTTACCAGCCACGCCAAGCCCCGGTGACCCTCACCTACATGTGTCCTGCACCCTCTCTGGATGAACTGAGCATCTTCTGTCTCCAAGGCTTCTCCAGCAGCAACATTTTTATTCCCCGCTCCTGAAACAGCCTCAAGGCTATGCTCTATTGGGAAATGAGGTGGTGTTGCACGGTGGATGTACTGGCTTGCAGTCACTATCAATTCTTCCCAATGCCATCTGTCAGTGGCCCTCACCTCTGACCCCAAATACCTGTTCCAAAAGGAAATAAATCAAAGATGCTCAGAGTTGAAAGTAACTGTAGAGGTCATTACATCCAACTCTTTACCTGACATTGATCCACCCCTACAGCATCACCAATAAGCAATTGTATGGCCTCAGCTAGAGTTGATGACAGGGCACAGGTGGTCCCAGGATGGCTCCTTCTAAGCAGCTGATACCCACCTCTGTGAATGTCTGCCCACCCCTGGGTACCAGCACTGCCTTCTGGCCTCACAAAGAGAACACCTCATCCCTCTCCTCTACAAGGACCTTCGAAGTGTGTGAAGACAGCAACCACCCGGCCTTGAGTCCCCTGCTTCCCTTTTCAGGCTAAACAGTCTCAGTTCTTCCCTGCACCCCTCACGGTTTCTGTGACATATGAAGAGCAACAGCCCCGGTCAGCCGTACATTTCTCACTACCTCCTGCTTTATAGATGAGGCCGAGCCACTGCCAACATCGAAGGCAGTCGCCTCCCCGCCCCCATGGCTTAAAGCCAGACTGAGGCCCATCCAGGAGGAAATGGCAGCGAAGGCTGGGAGGAGGCTGAGAAAGGGATGCTTTCAGAGACAGAAGAACTGGGAAATGACGAGAAGGCAGGTGTTGGTAAAGGTGTGAGCTAGAATGTGAGCAGCCTGGGCAGGGGACAGGGTTCGGGCGGTGGCGGGGGGGGGAAATGCAGGAGCTGAGAGAATAAGGATAGCTCAGCCCTTAGGACATGGGCAACTTTGGGAAGGGCTTTCCTCGGACAAAAAGTTCCAAAGAGGAGCAAACCAGCTGAGCCTAGAATAGTGGATCCTAGTCAGAGAGATGCTCACTTGAATTATGAAAAGTCTCCCTTGGACATTGTTACAGGCCCCAGTGGAGGGCACATCAAGAAAGAATGAGGCTTATAAGACTTTTGCAACAGGTATTTCCTTCTTCCTAAGCCAGACACAGGTCCATGCGCCTAAGTGAGTCTCCATGTTGTCAAACAGATGGAGAAGGTAAAGCTAATCAATACATAGGGTGGGTTCCCTAGCAGAGCCTGAGATGGGGGTTTCTTGTCCACGTGATTTATTGAGGGAATGAGCTCAGGAAAAGCCTAGAAGGGAGTGAGGTATGCAGGATAGGGCAGGGAGAAAAGGTAAGCAAAGACATGGTTTCAGGAGAAGTCTAGCTCAGCCTGATCCCATGGAAAGCTCTGGGGTGTAAACTGCACCATAATTTGTTGGGTCTTGAGGCAAGGCGCCTGGCATTTTGCACTCCTGTCAGTCAGGAGTCGCTGGCTCCTGGCTGCCTCCAGGTGGTGGGGAGGTGCATAACTTCTCAGATATCTCCAGGAAAGGCAGGGCCAGTAGACTAAGGACCAAGGGCATCCTCCTGTTCTCAGTGCAGAAGCTTGTAGCCACAGCAGCAGAAAAGGGGATCTGGATGGAACACCAACAGCACCTTTCACAGATGCCCTTGCTAATTTGTACACAGACCCCTGCTCACAACTGTAGGACCAGTGTGATGGAAACTTTCAGTCAGACTGATGAATGGCAGCCAGACACACACGGCTCGTGGACAGAGTTTTGACGGTAGGGTTCTGTGCCTCCGTATTCCCACTACAGCCACTCAGTGTATCAGGGTATTTTTCCTTCCACTGTACAGCTCTATCTACATTACACAAACAAATAAATGGATAAATATATCTGGTTACAAAATAACATCAACTCTCTGCCCCCAAGCATAAGTTAAAGTTATTTCAGCGAACAAATGCGAGATCAGAAAATAAATTTCGATTGCGTTCTACTGTATTACAGTTCTCCAAGTTGGCAAGTCCTTGGGAGTCACCTAGTTTAACCCCCTCATCTTACAAGTGAGGAAACTGAGGCCCACAGAAGCTAATTACCTTGCCCAAGGCTGGGCCACTCCATCAACAGAAGTCAATAAACCCAGGCAAATATGTTCTTTCTGTGCTTTGTACTTTATTTCTCCTGAGTATAAATTTCTGTGGCCAGTGAGGTAATCAATAGCGAATGGACCTGATTCATGAGAAAATAAGTGCTGGGAGATGGAGAGACGGTTTAGCATCCAAAGGATGACCCTTTTCAGAATGTTCTTCCCAAATAAAGCCCATCCTGACAAATAGGCTTCTATCACAGGCTTCCAGTAACCACTAAGTCCCACCTGTATGGACTGGTTCTAAGTCTGTTGCAGGGGAGAAATATGATACATGGAATTTCAAATCTGCCGGGGTGCTGTAGCCCATTAGTTTCAGATTACAATAGATCATGGGTCAAATAGCCCCGCTGGTCAAGTCTGATATGGCAACCCAGCTCCATCAAACATAAACACTCAGATGAAAAAGAGACAGCACAAAGCACACTTTCAGATATCTCTAGACCCAGGTGGCATGTTTTTGTTCTGCTGGAGAGAATGCAATACTTGATACTTTGAAATATGAACTGATCTATGGGAACAACGTCTCTGACAACAAACTTGGTGCTAAAAGCTACCAATTCAAAAAAATTAAAAAATAAGAGCTACCCATTCAGTCGTTGGGGATTTTTTTCATGGGATCCCATTTCAGCTCTTCCTCTAGAAATCGGTAGCAAACCAGGATTCAGAAACTTTACAGAAAACTGTCTAGAATTCATCTCTTCGTTAACGGAAGGAGTTTCTGCAGAGAGGAAAAGAGAACCACTGTAGAGAGGGGGAAAGAATCAATTCCCAATTTGGTAAGCTTGCAGGTAGTCTTCCATCAGCATTCTGGAGGTCCAAGAACTCCCAGAGACAGAGATGCAGACATACAGCAACTAGGCACCAGCTTAGTGGCCCGCTGCCGCTTCAGCTTTTCTTGCAAGTAGATGGTGCCGGTCATTATAACAGTCAGCTCTTAATCAGTGTCCTCGTCCTTCATCACATCAGACAGAAGTCAATACACCCCTGAAAGCTTTACTTCCAGAGAGCCATGACCTAACATTCTGCAAACGAGAAGATCCCAACTGGAGGCTGGCACCACAGAAAACCACTCACACAGCTGGGCAGAGGTTGCCTCTCCAAGGGCATGGCAAATGCTCACAAAACTTCCAAGCAACTTAAGGAATAGGAAAGACCATCTACTCTGCATTCAATGCAATCTAGACCATTTTAACATGGGGCCTAGAAACTTCCCAGGTGAGGGAGAGTCAGGGCCTACACTGTGTGCTGAGGCGTGCAGGGATGGCCATGCAAGGAGAACCTCCTGGGCTTCATGGTCCAGGTCCTCATGGTCATGAGGGGTTGGGCTTCATCCAGGAACAAGGTCAAGCCTCAGTTAGAAGATCTAATTTGGTGTCAACAAACACATCTCTGGTTCAACCCAACAAACATATAACAAACAGGACCAAGATGGCTTCAGGTAAATGCACACCTGGACTGTCAATAAATTGCCATCCAAAAAGAGTAACTGGTGTTCAGCTGTGAACCTGTAATCCAAGGAGGCTGAGTTAAGAGGGGCAATTAGCCCTCCCTCTCACAAATTATCCCTGGATGCTTCTGGCAGATAAAACAAAATATATCCCACCAAAGGGGTATTGCTCAGACCCATGGAGACATATCTTTGGATTTTTTTTTTACTCTAAGTGGACCTTTGAGGGAATTTCTAACACCCTGGAGACTACCCAGGGGACCTAGGATGAAGAAAGCAAGGTGACAGTGACTAAGCGTGCACTGCATGCCAGACGAGGTATCACATGTACAGATGTGTGATCCCAGGCGTGACCAAATGGAGCTACTCCCCAAATACTAAAACAATACATGTAATTATACCTAAGATGCTATTCTGGGACATTTTTTCATCTTCTTTATTCTTTCCCACACTTGCCAAGTTTTCTCCAGTGACTGTGGATTGTTTCTATAATCAGAAAGTGTACTGTTAAAGTAATAACAATAATGAGACAAGTCTTCCCAATGCAGGTGGAATCCTGGGTCCCTATACTGAAAAGGGAAGCCAAAAAATAGCTATTTCAGTTGACATGAGAGTCACCTGACATTTGAAAAACTTCAAACCCACTTCACACACTCATGACACACTGTAAGAGCTTTCCCCGTGCTAAGCAGTTCTAAGTCCTGAGAATATCAAGTTAGAAAAGACATCACGTCTTATGGGGAGGAGAAACTGAAATGGGCAATGAATAAAAATTCTCAGTGGTTAAAGAATTCAGTTTTAAATTAAATCATCTCTAAGGTTCCTTTTAGCCTAAACACTTCATGATTCTAATGCAAGGAAAAGTATAATGACTGTTCTAGGAGAGGAGTAATCCAAAGGCTGTTTAGAGAACAGGAGAGGAAGAGATTAAGTTAGATTATGACATGGGGAGAGGGGTTGGCAGTGGTTTCCTGGAGAAGGCCACAGAGATTTTAGAGCCAGATTTTTTTCGGGGGTGGAGGGTGGGGGGGTCGTATTATTTATTCAAAATCCAGGGCATGTTTGGCAGTTACAGTGAATCAACCGAAATACAGTTAGTTCAAGTTGCTGGATCTTTGATTTCACCGTTGTTCAGGATTACACCACAAAACGCAATGTAAACTGCAGAAACTTCCAGGCTCCCCTGCAATGCATCTTGGGCAAGCCTGGGCCCAGCGTCTTCCGCCATCCTGAGGAACCCCTACACTTGGTCGCCCCTGGTCGCCGTCTGGCCGCGGTGCGGGGAGGTGGCCTCTGGGCTGGGCATCCGGTGACTTGGGCTCCTCGCTGCCCCAGGACACTGGCACGCGCGCCTTCACGTGGAGGCAGCCCCGCTCCGGCGCCGCTGCTTCTAATCTCCTGCGGGCCCGTTTCGCATCCCCCGGCACCTGCAGCTTCTCTGGCCTCCTCCGTTGCCACCAGCCCAGCGCCAGGGTGTCCGTGCGGCCCCAGGCCCAAGTCCGCCCAGCCTCATCCCCACTGGCGACCACGCCTAGAGCCGGATTTTAAAGGATGAGTAGGATTTAAATAAGTAGACAGAGAGAGGTGAGAGATGAAAAGAAGAAAGGCCCATGAGCAAAGGATGCTGGGTCAGTTCAGGAAACAGCAAGTAACTACTGAATCCAAAAAAAAAATCTTTGCTGGCTATTTACTGTGGGCAGACCCTGCATTCAGCATGAAGGATGCAGAGAATGTGTTTGATGAGACAAGACTCCTGCTCTCAACACCCCACCCCTACCCACAGGGGATGGGAAATGGGCCGTGAGCTTTCAGATGGCAAGGATCTGGTCTAGCTCTCTCCCTGCTACATGGGAGGTGCTCTGTTTGATTAACAAAGGAACGGATGTGCAGACACACAGCACACACACTCGTGATAAAAGATGCAGGCCTGCTACCCAGGCCACTCGACTCTTATCAGGGGTTAGGGCAGCACAAGCTTCCTGGGCTGAGGTTAGTGGCATGACCTGGACCGGAAGCCAAGATGGCAGGTAAGGAGAGGATGTTTAGCCAGCAGAACCGATATGGAAGTCCTGAGAAAAGGGAACGTTTGTCATATTATGAGAATTAAGAATCCCACAAACACAGCAGTTCACCATGCTCCAAAGCTGTTAGTGAGTCACAGTGTGGAATAGTGAGAAGGACACCGTCCTGAAGTCAAGACAGCCAGAATCCAACTAAGGCTCAGTGAACACTCCCGTGGGACACTAAGCAAAGCATGGGGCCTGCCCTGTACGAGGCATCTGCCATGCACTAGCTCTTGGCATCCTTTGGCCTCCCTGGATCAGTACAGCAACTCTGAGTGGCAGGTATTATTGTTCCTAATTAGAGACGGAGAGAGTAAGATTAAGAAATTTGCCCATGATTACACATCGAAGAGGGGGTACGGTAGGAATTCCAACTCAGATCTCTCCCCAAAGCCCACCTTCTCCACACACCTGCTCCTCATGTGATAAGAAGTAATAAGCTTAGCTAGGGACCCACCAGCCTGTGGCAAGATTTCCAAATATGTGAGCGGCCTAAGCCCTCCCCTCCACATCTCTATAATGCTATGTGATGTAGACGACTAAGAGTCATAGAATTGCCTCTAACAAGATCCCACTGTGGAGAGACCTTTCTTTCAGTAAGAAAAGAAGGAAATGCCTTTCTTAAGAAATCTCTAAAGTACACACACATACACACACACACACACACATACACAATATGGCAATCAGGTTAAAAATGCAGACTGAGGGGTCATTTGCAATCCTGAACTTGGAGGCAGATGAACCCCAGTGTGATAAGCAGAGAAACAATGTGAAACAGTCACGTGCTAGTCACAGGCAGTGGGGTTGCCACCTGTCCGCAATAGTTAGCTATTGAACCCAGCTGTGACCTCCACTCTACAAAACCCCAGCTCTGTGATGCTGGGCTTTAACACAGGGCTCAGAAAGCAGCAGCCTCCTCCCTCTCTCTGGTCTATCCTGACAGCATTACTCATCAACTGACTCTTCTGGAGGGCTGCAAACAGGGCAAGTAGGCTGGAAAATAAAAACCCTCCTACAACGGGTTTCGCTGGTGGCTCAGTGGTTAAGAATCCACCTGCCAATGCAGGGGACACGGGTTCGATCCCTGGCCCGGGAAGATCGCACATGCCGCAGAGCAAGGAAGCCCATGTGCCAGAACTGCAGAGCCTGCGCTCTAGAGCCCGCGAGCCACAACTACTGAAACCCGTGCGCCACAGCTACTGAGCCCGTGTGCCACAACTACTGAAGCCCACGCGCCTAGAGCCTGTGCTCCGCAACAAGAGAAGCCACCGCAATGAGAAGCCCACGCACCGCAACCAAGAGCAACCCCCGCTCGCGCAACTAGAGAAAGCCCGCGAACGGCAACGAAGACCCGACACAGCCAAATATAAAAACAAAGAAATACATTTATATTAAAAAACCCCTCCTACGAATCTTGAAAATAACCCCACCTTACATCTTGTGACATGTAGTTGTCACAAGGCACAAGAGATTTTTCACATATATTGTCTCACGATTCGTTCTCCCTGTGAGTTACAAAATCACGTTACTATCATATGTTCCACGAGCAAGTCGATGCCGAGAGAGGGTACAAAATACGACCCAGGGAATAAGCTAGGAAATGACAGAGCTGGGATTCGAACCTATGTCTTCCTACTCCCAATCTTAACTTCAGCTCATCCAGTCATGGCCAGAGACACACCCCCTGGCCAGCCCTCTCACCCCAACTCCTTTCCTTCCACTCTGCGTCAGCAGGGCGATCTCCACTGCGTGGACACTGTTGAATCAAAGCCCTCCTCTCCTCTTCCAGGAAAGAAAAGTATGTGCTTATCTGAAGTCAGACGGTCTTAGGTGAGGGCTAAGAGTGTACCTGCCCAATCATGCAGCACACCTGTTTACATGGCAGTCAGCGTCCCACACCTGGCTTCTGGGACGTCTAACCTCCACAACCTTTCACTCTGCTAGAATCATGGCTCATTCGCTAATTAAAGGGTATTATGCACACCAGCTAAGAACTTGGAATAAGGAAGTGTATGCGAAAGCATTAGCCCTGGAGATGGCACTAGGTACGCTTTGCAGAAAAAGAAAACCAGGAAAAATGATTCACCTGGGGCAGCCCCTCCGCACACTTCAGTCTAATAAGCTAGCCGCAGCTCATAGGGAAGGAAGCCACCCAGCATAGGACAAACCCAGGGAGAGCCCAGTAAATTAGCCAAAGGGAGAGGGATGCGCAGTGGAGAGAATGAATGAGAGAGAAAGCTGGTGAGCCAACTTCTCCCATAACCACCTGTGAGGTCTCGCTATCCTCTGGTGCACCCCAGGCCAAGGACAAGCACACCTGCACCCCAGGCCAAGGAGCCAGGGAGACAAGGGCGAGTGGGAAGGATTAGCCCTCACTGCAAGGTCTTGGAACGAACTTGGCATCGTGTCCACGCCTTGTAGCATGGCTGCTCATTGCAATCAATGGGTGAAAAAGATCAGCCTCCTGACTGGAGTATTCTGCAGGTTTCCTAGAGTGGGTGCCCTTTTGGACACTCTCCTGAACAGCTTGGCGATCCAGCCCTGAGACCCATCCCCTTTCAATGCTAGAGGAGGTCATCCATTGAGAGTCAGTCTAAGGAGGGACACTCAACCAAATCAGTCTTGAACCTGGTAAGGATGGCAGATAATGACATGACACTTACTAAGTAATAAATTGTGTCCACAGGCAGCTTCATTATTTAAGAGACAACCTGGAAAGGTCAAAGGGTTGGGTCAGGTTTTACAGCCTGATCTTTGGCCTCTTGGGACCCCAGGGACCGAAATGATAGGCTAAGTACAAAACTGCAGCCTGGGACCAAAGAACCTTTACTTCTAAGTGGAACTTGGTCATGAATTGAGAGGAAGCCACTAGGTGGACATGTGGTTATGAGGATGCTTGAGAACTTGGCCCAGGGTCTGCTACCAACTGCAGTTGTTCTCGGTGCCACCTTCTCTCTCTCTCTCTGCTGTCTGCATGTTCCATGCGTGTTTCTGAGCTGCGTGGTGCAGTGGTGAAGCGAGGTGGACATGTGGTTATGAGGATGCTTGAGAACTTGGCCCAGGGTCTGCTACCAACTGCAGTTGCTCTCGGTGCCACCTTCTCTCTCTCTCTGCTGTCTGCATGTTCCATGTGTGTTTCTGAGCTGCGTGGTGCAGTGGTGAAGCAGAGCGTTGCCACGGCACTAGAAAGCAGGGGGTGGATACAGGGATAGTTTCAGCCTCCAAGAATGAGGCTTTTTCCCCAACTCTCCCCAAGCCACCCAGGACATTGTGCGTGACATGTTTTCGGATCCTGTTTGCTCCATTTAGAAAGGCTTCCAGGACTGCTGGTCCCTTCCCCCCAGCTCAGACCTGCTTCCTCTTCAGCATACATACACCACAGCCTGATCTTGCTGGGCTCTTCTAAGGAGGGACACTCAACCAAATCAGTCTTGAACCTGGTAAGGATGGCAGATAATGACATGACACTTACTAAGTAATAAATTGTGTCCACAGGCAGCTTCATTATTTAAGAGACAACCTGGAAAGGTCAAAGGGTTGGGTCAGGTTTTACAGCCTGATCTTTGGCCTCTTGGGACCCCAGGGACCGAAATGATAGGCTAAGTACAAAACTGCAGCCTGGGACCAAAGAACCTTTACTTCTAAGTGGAACTTGGTCATGAATTGAGAGGAAGCCACTAGGTGGACATGTGGTTATGAGGATGCTTGAGAACTTGGCCCAGGGTCTGCTACCAACTGCAGTTGTTCTCGGTGCCACCTTCTCTCTCTCTCTCTGCTGTCTGCATGTTCCATGCGTGTTTCTGAGCTGCGTGGTGCAGTGGTGAAGCGGAGCGTTGCCACGGCACTAGAAAGCAGGGGGTGGATACAGGGATAGTTTCAGCCTCCAAGAATGAGGCTTTTTCCCCAACTCTCCCCAAGCCACCCAGGACATTGTGCGTGACATGTTTTCGGATCCTGTTTGCTCCATTTAGAAAGGCTTCCAGGACTGCTGGTCCCTTCCCCCCAGCTCAGACCTGCTTCCTCTTCAGCATACATACACCACAGCCTGATCTTGCTGGGCTCTTTTGCACAGTGTTTCAAATGGATAATACAAAACAACTCCCCCAGGAAAGAGAGCTCCAGGGGATGCCAGAGGCAATGAGCCCTCCCCAGCCCCGCGCCCCACCCCCGCCCACCCCCAGGCACTCTTGGCTTTTCCAGAATCAGAGACAGCGCACAGCAAGCATAGAGGCTGTGTGCAGAGACTGGTTGTAGCATTAAAAGAAACTCAGAGCAAGAGTCTGGTAGGCAGTGGCCCTGAGAGCCGGCGGGGAGGAATGCACCACAGAGAAAGGTAGGGCATGTCTTAATTAAGCAGAGGACCTCAGACAAGAGCTGACAATAGAGTCCAGTCTCTTTGCAATTGCAGTACCTGCCACCCCGAAATTACAACTGCAATTTGGCTCAAGGATCTGAGACTCAAAAGCTCTCGGTTCTCCCTTAAGGTCGCTTTGGGAGAAGCGGCCACACTGGGCTTCCGGAGGGTCCCACAGCACCTGATGTCCCAGGCCCGCCTGGGAGCAAGGAGGTGTGGGCAGCTGCAACCAGACCTGCTATGCCAAGTTCTGCCCAGCAGCCCACTAATTAGGCAGACACAGAACCCTGGCAGCCACAGCTCTCCTCGCATTCTTCCCCTGCCCCTCCAGGAAGCCCCGTCCCGAACGGGACCCACCTCCCCCTCCGCTTTTCCTCTGTACTCAGCTCCACTCTCCCCCTCCAGGCTTGCGGATCTCAGAGCTGCTCACCCCTCCCCACACCACTCCCCCGCATCCACGTATCCACGCTGTTAAGGGATCTTACAGACAGCAAATGAGCCTTTGAGTTTCAAGCTGAAACTCGCAGACCAGCCAGCCTGCAACGTTTCACCCTCCCAGACATCTCACTGCCCGTCCTGTGCATGGGTCTCCACCTAGACCCTCCTCTTTTGCCCAGGGACCCTGAACATCTCTTTGTTTTTGACCTGTCAGCAGACCAGACAGAGACCCAGGGTTACCCTGGCCTCTCCTCTCCCCGCACAGAGCTCAGAATCCACACAGGAAAAGGAAGGAAAGAGACTTCCACACCTCTGCAGCATCACCTGCTCCAACAAGCTCCCAAAGCCACTGGAACCATCCAGGCTGCCTGGTGCCCCCCACCCCCTTTCCTGGCAGCTTTAAGCTGCAGCCCAGCCCACAGGATGCAGTGCCTGATGCCACTTCCGAGCAGAGAGAGAGAGAGATAGAAAATGCCACCTCGTCAATGACAAGCTGTTCCAATCACACAGCTCAGACACCAAGTGCCCTGGACCACGGACAGCTCAGGCCTCCTCCCTCTGGGTGGGTGGAAGGCAACTCAGCACCTCTGGGGTAATGATCCGCCACCACGGCCAGGCTCCCCGCTGCTCGCCCCGCACATCTGACCAGACAGGAGTGCTCCAACCCAGCAGGCAGACCTCTCCGACCAGTTCCAACAACTCTGGCCAACTACCCTCTTGGCCTTCAACTGAGACACTGCTCTCTCTCCTGCTCCAAAGCACAGAGACACCTCGAACCAAGCCTCAGACCGCCAGCGTGGCACTTCTCAAAAGGACTGAGCGCAAAAATGAGCTGAAAGCCAAGTACTCACTGTGGTGAAGTCCTGGTGGCCACACTCCTGCCCTTTGAACTTGCAGTAGAGCATCATATCCTTCAGGTCATGTCCCACGCGGTGCAGGAACTCCAACATGCTGAACTGTTTGGGTTTGTAGTGCTTGAAGTTGGCCTTCTGCCGCAGGGCCTCCAGCACCGTGGGGTCAGCCAGGTGTGGGTCCGGGATCTGCAGGTTGACGTCCAACAGGGCGAGCAGCTCCCCGGCGTGGTACAGATCATTGGTGGTGAGCCTGGAGAAGCGGAAGCCGTTGAGGTTACAGAGGGTCACGGCTGGGAAGACCAGGCTCTGGGCCACCACCTCCTCCACCTTGGTGACGTGCTGGTAAGAGAAGTAGTAGGACACCCTCTCAGAGCTCTCCACCAGCAGCAGGCCCAGAGAGCCCACGAAGGCCATGGCCCAGAGCACACGCCGGATGCTCAGCGGCCCGTACACGAAGATGTGGCGGATGCCGTGGAGGGTGGAGGTGTTGGCGAAGATCTGGATGCTAGAGGGCTGCAGGCTACCCTCGCTGGGGCTCTCCTTGAGGTCCATGGGGACCCTGTGCAGTTCTGCAACTGGCTTCAGGTTGATCAGATTTCAGGGAAGAGTTCCCAGTCCTCGGGCTCTGCTTAAACGGTGACGTTCAAGGGAGGGAAGGAAAGGCAAGCATCAGGCCGGGTTCCGTGAGTTTATCCTGAGAGCCCAGCCGCACGCTGCCAGGGGTGAGTGTTTATATAAAACCCATTCGAACTCTAGCTCCTGATTTTGTCCAGGCGATAAGGAAGGCTGGTTTTATTTAGGGAGACACCAAGGTGATGTGGAAGAGATGTGGGTGGGAAGGGAGAGCTTAGCCAATGGAAATAAAGTCCTCCCCCCTACACACGCCACTAGAGACAAGATTAAAAGCGAGAGCGAGGGAGAAAATGCTTAAAACAAGTCGCTCAGCAGCTCGGAGCCTGTTAACCAGTGCGTAATGCCCCGCATTAACCATCCTGGGGATGTCAGGGCGGCCACGCTGATGCACTGCGGCCGGGCGCAGCGGCCGAGCTTCAGAACCGCCGCCGCCGCCGCCGCCGCCGCCGCGGCTCCGGTCCTCTCCTCTCCCCGTACTGTTTTGGACTCCGGATTCCGTTTCTCGCCGCCGGCCTCCGTCCCTCCTCTCCTACCTCCTCCTCCTCAAGGGCCCCTTTTTTGGGGCAGAATTCCAAAGGCAGGCGGGCCGCGGCTAGCGCCTCGGAGAGGCGAGGACCGGGAGGCTGGGAAGGATGCTGGAGGTTCGGAAAGGGACTCGTCTCTCCCCGCCCACCCACCCCGCCCCGCCTCCCCGAGCAAAAGCTAGCACCCAGAGGGCACCGAGAGAGCCGGCCTCCCTCACCCCCTCCTCCACCATCCTGCTGGGGGCTGGGAGAGGGCAGGCGCGGGGCGGGGGTGGCGTGGGGGAGGCGCTGCTGGGGGCGGGGGACCGGCGAAAGTTTCTTTTTGGTCTTTTTTGGAGGGAGCTAGTGGGGGCTTCTCGCCCAAGGTGGGGAACCAGCCCTGGGAGTGAGGACTTGACCCCCGCCCCCGTAGATGGCAGGAAGGCACTTGGTAAACTCCCAGGAGCCGGGTATGGGGGTGAAGGCAGCATTCCTTCGCACCAATATTTGCTCCCGGGTCAGGCTCAGCCTGGGGTCTCCGGACGGGAGACGCTGGAAGCGGGGAAGGAAGGGAGCTGTAAAAAACCACAGTGCCTCTGCGGCCGGCGGGAAGGGGACATTCCAGGGAATGAGGTGCCCCTGACAGAGGCCGAAGAGCCAGACGCCCCTAGGAGACCAGACGAAGAGCAACGTGTAGCCCCACCCCCCGACAGAGCTTTCAGGAGGTTCTGCATCTGAAAGAGAAAGACAGCTGGGGTTCCAGGTAAGGCTGGATGCCTTCCCTTTGGGCTGTGCGTGTGTGTGTTCTGCCCCAGGATTTGCCAGATGGAAACACAGCTGGAGCTATAGGTGGGAGAGAGGGATTGGGCTTTCAGCCACCTACCTCCTTTTTCCTGAAAATCCACTAGAAGTCAGCTCCTGCTAGCAGGTGGGTGTGGCTTGCCCTGTGCCAGGGATCAAATGGCTGGAACCTATAGAATCAATGATGCTAAATCCCCTTCAGGAGGAAAGGAACAGAAAGTTCCAGTGGCCAACCCAGTGCACACTCCCAGTCTGGGGCAGAGCCACATGGAGGCACCTTGCTGAGCCAACCTGGTGTCCCCAGGGCATGCCCAGCTTAAATAACACTCCTTGAGAAGAAGGCAGTTTAGGGAATGTCCCTCTTGGTTTGCATCTGCTCTGAAATGTTTCTCTATCCCATCTGCCCTCTCGCTAAACCAGAGCCAAACCAGGAACAGTGTCCGGATGCACATTAAATGAGTGGTTTACTGATCCTGGGAGCTCAAAGAGCAGAAGCGTCCTGAATTAGCAAAATGACAGAGGCCAGTTAACCTCAGAGGTCCTAAATCCCTACCTTAAGGCTGCCTAGATGGGGATGGGATTTCCAAAACAGGGGTGCCAAAATTAACTAAGACTCTGCCGTGTCAGGACCGGGTGAAGATGTCTGATTTCACTTAATGCTTTCAACCACCTTGACAGGTGTGTGTTATTACCCCAAGTATACACACGAGAAAATGGAGGTTCACGAGAGTAAAGTCACACAGCTCATAAGTGACGGAGCTGGGACTTGAACTCAGGCACGTTTGCCTCCAAAACAGAGGCTGAAAAGCAAAGCCAAGACACTCCTTCCCAAATTTAGGAAGAGGACAAACATTTCTACCCCACGTCCCCCAACACACACACACATACTCACTCACCTTATACTACACACAGACCAGCTCCTCCTTCCGCAGACGTGAAGCAGCCCTCCTCTTTCTCTCCACCAAGCCACATCCCTGGTGTCCATGTTTCTCACAGTGCCAGGCACTCCTCCTACAGGAAGACTTCCCTGATGCTCCTTTGCAGTCTTTGGCTCATCAGCCTTTTGCAGTTTAGGGAATGTCCCTCTTGGTTTGCATCTGCTCTGAAATGTTTCTCTATCCCATCTGCCCTCTCGCTAAACCAGAGCCAAACCAGGAACAGTGTCCGGATGCACATTAAATGAGTGGTTTACTGATCCTGGGAGCTCAAAGAGCAGAAGCGTCCTGAATTAGCAAAATGACAGAGGCCAGTTAACCTCAGAGGTCCTAAATCCCTACCTTAAGGCTGCCTAGATGGGGATGGGATTTCCAAAACAGGGGTGCCAAAATTAACTAAGACTCTGCCGTGTCAGGACCGGGTGAAGATGTCTGATTTCACTTAATGCTTTCAACCACCTTGACAGGTGTGTGTTATTACCCCAAGTATACACACGAGAAAATGGAGGTTCACGAGAGTAAAGTCACACAGCTCATAAGTGACGGAGCTGGGACTTGAACTCAGGCACGTTTGCCTCCAAAACAGAGGCTGAAAAGCAAAGCCAAGACACTCCTTCCCAAATTTAGGAAGAGGACAAACATTTCTACCCCACGTCCCCCAACACACACACACATACTCACTCACCTTATACTACACACAGACCAGCTCCTCCTTCCGCAGACGTGAAGCAGCCCTCCTCTTTCTCTCCACCAAGCCACATCCCTGGTGTCCATGTTTCTCACAGTGCCAGGCACTCCTCCTACAGGAAGACTTCCCTGATGCTCCTTTGCAGTCTCTGGCTCATCAGCCTTTTCAAGTCTGTGGATCTCTAACTCCATACCAGACACTCTGTTGGTTTTGGGGAAACAAAGAGGAATGGGACACATTTCCCACCCTTGATAACTCAGGGTTCAATGGGGCTGGAGCCAGTGTACGTTTGCAAACTGGCCCTGTACACACAGAAGGCAGGGAGAGACCAAAGAAAGAGGCAGCCGCTCCAGGTTGGTCGGTGGCAGGTTAAATAAGCAAGAGAACTTACACACGAGGTTAGTCTTGGGCGCTGCGAGCAGAATAGATATCTGCACCCACCACCCAATTGTAGAAGTTGATACAGAGGCCTTAAGTGGGGCTCAGGCACATACACCATCCACATGGTCTCAACACCACCTTACTCTCTCGAGGCTGTGTTCTTAAGCAGCTTCTAGCTTGGGGAACGCACATTCCAAAGACAGGGGAGCCTGAGGAAACTCTGATTGCCCTGGTCGCGTCCTCTTGATGACCTCCCCCAAGACTCCAGCCCTCCTCGTGACCCGCTTTAGTTTGTAGCGCCCCCGCCCTCCTCTGAAACGTTCCAGGAAAGGTCAGCCCGGGTTTCACTAGCATGGAGCTCGTTAGATGGTTATCTGGCTACATTGGGGGCAGATGCCACAGCAACAATACAAGCACATGCAAGAGAAGCACAGGTTAAAACAATAATTCCCCAAATCAGTGGCAGCTTCTCCCACCAAGAGCCCCCTGTTCAGAACCACTGATTTATAAGTCTCCTAGGCTGGGGGCAGGAACACTTAGGGCATCCACTTGTGGCCTTGTGTGATTTAGTAAAGCCAGCACAGTAGCAGACAGAAGACTCACCAGGTATGAACACACAACATTCTGCTTGGCTAATGGCACAGGTGCCTCCTGGCGAGGCAGTGATGATGTCCAAGTCCATCTTAAGTTGGAGGACAGGCAGCTTTTCTCATTAGAGACATGTCAGTGTTCAGTAAGGACAGCCTTTGTTGGCCTTCATTCAGGGCTTGCTGGGGGATTTAATAAGGCCCTCCGTGTGTGCTACAGTGTCCTCCAGGCTGATGGAGGGGACAAAGATGGCGGCCAAATGCTGGTACTGGTGGGAAACAGAACGTGTGTCCCGGGCCTCGAGGAGAGGGAGGTGGCAGCTTTAGGAACCTGACCTGGTTGTGGGCACCATTCATCTTGGCCAGGGGAGGCAGCACTGTCAGGTGTGAAGAGAGGGACTGGGGGCAGGCCAGGCCAGACCAGGACCCCACCTTTTCCCCTCAAAGCTGTGTGTTTCATTCCAGGTCTAGTGTGTTTCCACAGGCTCAGCCTGCAGCAGGACAACGGGGTCTCAGTGGAGACTGAGTAGCTGTTCCTTACCCAGGGGTGCAAAGCAATCCACCCATCCCAACGGAATGTGCCATTGCAAATTCCAGTAGGTGAAGCCTCTCCCAGGCGTGACGGGGTTTGGTATTCTCAGCAGCACAGCAAGCTAATCCACGGTGAGAGTCCGGGCAACGGGTTGTTTCCCACCATTTCCATATCTTTACGGGATCGGGTGCCTCGGCAGGGGTCCCCAGTGTGGTATGTGGGGCAACAGGCCCTTACCTGACCAAGGTGGTGCTACCTGTTAGTAATTTTATCTGCTGCTTTAACATCCCATTTTTCCTTTCTACCGACCCTGCTGCTTGCAGGTTATAGGGGAGAAGGACCCCTCATTCACTGTTATTTCTTTTGCCCCATCTTGTACACCATGACCTTTGCAGTGTGACCCCCGTCACTATCTATTCAATGATGGTATCCATCCACGGTACTCAGCCTCTCTAAGCTCCCCCGTTGGTGGCAGCCTGGTTTGCACAGTCA